TCAACTGCACCAGCGTGTGGGCAATGAGCTAGTTGACATAGTTCCTGTTCTCGGCGTAGACGTACAGGAGATGTTTTGGTGTCATTGTTTCCTCCCACAATGCCCGATACAGACTACCGCGATGTGGCCAGTCAAGGGAAGAACATCGGAAAGGCCTTGGGCGAGATAGATGGCAATGTTTCGAACATTTGGCCAAATCAGAATCTGTGCTTAAGTTCTTCCTCCTCCAATTGAAGGATATGCAGGGCTGGGCTCCTCTCAGAGGAGCCCTAGGGCCGAGAACATGCCGGGCCAGGATGCACTCTCAGCACGACCATCAAGACCTGGCCCCGATGCGCTCAGTGCGTCTGAAAGGAACCTACCTGGCCTGCCGGTGATGTCGCGTCAGTGCGATGATCCCTATCGCGAGAACAAGGCACCTCACCTGCAGTCGAGATTCACTGGAGGATCCCAGTAGGGACGATCCGCACCTAGCTGTGGCAACGAAATCAGCAAATTGAGCACATGCAAGAGTGCAATAGTTCAACTTATTCGATGTATATCTGAGAGCCCTGGCTCTTGGAATGATCGTGAGATATCGTGAGGTATGAACAGTCTGATCTCCTGGGAGTTTCCTCACAAATCAAGTCTTCCAAGAATGTCGACGCATGTTGGAGCGACTCTCCTCAAATGCCCCACGGGACGCCCTTTGGCCATGTTGTTGATTCCACGTTGTCATGCGACTTCCGCAGTTGAGAATACCTTTTCGACAAGTGTCAAGGTCAGCTGATTGAATGGATCCTAACTGAAGACTGCGCGCAAGGAAACAGCTCTGAAGACTGTGCCTGCAATTGCCTGCAACCTTGCATTTCGAGCGATGTTTCATCCAATCTGTGAAAGCTTTTGTCCTTTGGCGAGTCCTACGCCAAGTGACTTTGATGCGGACTCCGCACATCGCGGCACATCGCGCCTTCACACAGGCTTGCCGAACAGGTGAAACACGGCAGCCGGCGCAAATGCCTTGACTGGGATCTGTACAGGGTGAAGATGATCATGGGTGATTGATGGTGATATGATCTCGTAGCAAAGAGTCATGTATTTTGGGAAGCCCTATAGTAGGTCTTTGACAATGGCCCTCCTTCCCAAAGTGCTAAGAACTAGCTAGCATGTCAGGCTGCACCTGCAATTAGTCTGCAAAAGCCGGAAGCACGTGGGGGAGGAGAGCTGCCACAGTTGAGTGGTCAATGGAATCAAGATCAGGTAAATCTAGAAAAGCTAGTTTGTTAGATGAAATGTTTTGAATTGCCAACATCATCTCATAGGATTCTTGGCGAAGCTTCCGCCATCTGCCAGCTATTCTCACCTCACATGGGCCTGGTCTCTCCCAACTACTGAGACAGCACATTCACGCGACACAAATGCTGCTATAGTCTGGTGGCTGCCGGTCCAAATGGTTGGGAAGGAAACATGGTTGGACCGTGCGTTCGCTGATTGCCACAGAGGTGCCGGTGTAGCAAAAGAGAGCAAGGGAAGGGGTTCTCGGAAATCCTTCAGGATTGAAGACTTTGAAGATCGAATTAGGCTGGCTGAAAGTGCTATATATACAATTGCTTCAGCTTCTGTGTTCTTTTCTGCCTGTGTTCTTTATGGAGCCTCAGGTGATTGGTCCTTGCAAGAAAAGGCCAAGAGATTGAGTTTGAGGGGTCTTGAACCCAACTACAATGCACCAAAATGCGGAACATACTGATTGAGGTCGCGGGCGTGTCATCCTTCGGAGGCAGTCTCAACATCAACACATCAACTCAACTGGCGCAAAAATTGGACGGAAAAGGCCAGGCGTTGACTTCTTGCGCAAACGCGCGTGACTGGCTCCCGCTTTCATAGTGATGGTGGTGTTCAGGCGACTGTTGGAACCGCTAGCAGGGCAGTGTCATTACGGCTCAAGGGTGCAGGGCCTCGCCGGCCTCAGCAATTCCGTGCTTGTGACTGGTGCTTGTCTTCAGTGCGGATCCTGTGCCTAGATTTTAGTTGGCGCTTCACCACGTCCTGCACTCAGTACGCGCTGGTTTTCCTCAAAGCCTTACGGCCTTTGTCTTCCATGGCAGGTTTCGTCCGCAGAATTACACAAAATGCTTCCCCGGATGGGATGAACACACCTCTCATTGCATGCCCCGCTTCAGTGGTGACAT